ATTTTAAGTAAGCTGTACAGCCATGGCTTCCGGTGCCCTTTTTACTCGTTCATTGGAAACTTTTTGTCAAATCGTATGCAGCTCGTTTCGATATGTGAATTTCACGGTACGAAAATGTCCCTCCATGTTCCGCACATCCCGATATTGTCACCTCTTTTGTTCGGTATTTATGTCAACGACCTTCCGCTGGCTGTAACGTTCTGTAAAGTGTTGCAATGAGCCGATGATACTTTCACGACGCCGTTGATTTGGTTCAGTTTGATGTAACACGGATAATGGATTGGTTTTCCAACAATGCCATCCAGATCAATGCTAAAAATTGCAACCTATTCGCTTTCGTAATCCACTAAGATCCATAGTCTTAGAGAAGCCCATTTATTTGCACGCCTTAAACTGTGTGCCTTGCAACTGTTAGCTAATCGGTCATGTGAAAATCGCAAAATATTTAGGAATCTATTTTGATTGTGACCTATCATGGAACTCTCCCATGTCCTACCTTTTCAAAAAGCCCTACGAACTGCTTCCTGCACTCTCTACAAATTACGCATGTTTCTTCCAATGTTAACCTGGAGACGGCTGGTGCATACGCTTGTGTGTAGCACGCTTCGCTATTGGATAACTGTATTCGAGTAGCGCACGGACCAACTACGCTCTAAAGTGAACTCTTTACTTAGGGTCATTTTGCGAGGCGGTTTTATGACTCGATCCTCCAACCATCTGATAACCTGTTTAACGACCTGCCTCTACCATTATTTCAAGCACTATTTTAGCAAACTGTAATACTCAAACACTACTAGAACAGCACGTTTAAACCTCCCAACAAAGTATGTCGCCCTTCGATATATGACACTGCTTACAGCGATGCGCATCGTCACGCATTTTGGGAAATGTATCGGTCATTATTACGCACCTCACATTTTTAACAACCTTCCCCGAGTGCTAACTCAGGTCCCCTTCGTTTCTCATCGCGAACATTCATGGATTTTTTGTATTTTATTTTTGAACTTGGAGGGGAGAGGGGGGGGGGAGAAACGTGAAAGTAATATAAACACACGCCGTGTATACACATGGCTCCTCCCTCGGTGCCGCACAAATTACAACCTCCAATCATTGCATTACATAGTACCGTATACGTGTTAAATAAATGCTTCACGGACAACATAAACATCTACACAATTAGCAGAAAAGACTTACGTACTTACTGTTTCAACTATTCCTAACTAATTTTGTTCCTCTGCTACTTCAATGTTATGTGAACTTGTCTTATTTTTCTTATCATCCTGGTAAGGTGTTTTATATGTTTGTTGTCCGAGCTGCTGTCATGTATAAGGGGAACCCAGACCCAGTCAAGCTGCTTTTAGCAGCTTTTTGTCTGGGGACCCGTCCAGTACTTCTGAAAAATAAAGTTTATTGTATTGTATTTGTATCTCGAGGAGTTTTGAAACAAAGCTTTTTGTTCATGCACATAATGTTGTTTTAATATGCCGTTACAATTTACTTTTTATTTCACTTATCGTGAACTCTGTACGTCGTGACGTAGTGCCCTGCTTGTACATATTTTCTTTCCTCACGATCTCGGTCTCTCGGCATTTTCATATTTTTATCTAGGTGTGTATTCGCTTTATTATTTTTAGGTACATAATAATTTTCGGGATAACTGGACCATCAAGTCTTTACGGCCTTAATGGTCCCGTTACGAGGTTATTATACATCGCTATACTTGAAGCACCTGCGGTAAACATTATCAATATTATTAACAATACCAATATCATTAATATTATTATTATTATTAAAACGGTAGCTTTACAGGCCCAACTACACTCGAGGTCATGTCTTGGTCCTCAAAGTCATCTCCTCAAGGTTATGTCCTAGAATGGTTGTAACGCCTGCGGCTGAAGCTCAATGTAGGGAAATCAAGGTCACGTAAGCGCCGGTTGTATGAGCACGTTCGCGTAAGCGCCGGTCGTGTACGCTTGTAAGCATCGGTAGCTGAGGCTGGCGTGGCCTGACGTCCTTGATGTCGTCCTTGACGTGGTCCTTAGATGTCGTCCGAGAGGTCATCCTAGAGGTCGTCACATAGTTCGTCATAGACGTCGTACGTCGTCCTAAACACCATCCTTGACGTCGTTCTCGACGTTTTCTTAGACAGCGTCCTTAAAGACCGACGTACACTTTGCAATTTCCACTTTTGCCCGCCTCCTCCTCCTTTCCTATATCCTCTCCACTTTTTAACTTGACCCGGTCTCACTCTCCTCGCAGCTTGGGAGAGGAGAGCATAAGAGGCCTATCTTCCCTGCAGAAAGCCAAGGTTGTATGTCGGCCTTTAAGGTCGTTCTAGTGGTCGTCATTCACGTCGTCCTAGATGCAGTCCTTGGCGTCGTCCTTGACGTCGTCTGTGAGGTTGTCCTAAAGGTCGTCCTAGACGTCGTTCTTGAGGCCGTCCTTGACGTTGTCCCAGAGATTATCCTATAGGTCGTCCCAGAGGCTGCAAGACGACGTCCTAGGCGCCGTCTAAGACGTCGTCTTCGACGTGTGTACGGAATATTAAAACTATTTCATCACAATACCGTTCCCTTTCATAATTCTTTCCACCAACGACATACTTGTAAAGCTACCGAATTTATTGCTCCTTTTCGAATGAAGGCGCATCCAATTTATAATAACAATAATAATAATAATAATAGTAATGATAATTACTAATATTATTATTTTAATAATATTATTTTTACAAAAAGCACTCTTCTAGACGTGTTACTAGTCAATGGAAGAGCAATTGTGCCTATCACCTATTCGATTTTAGTTAGAAATATAATCACTTGATTCCTGTTTTAGTAGCAAGACTATAGTGTGTCCCTATAGCAGTAAAAATCGTTTCATGAAGATTTAGTCAAGCTGCAGAATTCCACAAGACAACGAGGCATTACATTTGGATATTATTCAGAGGTGCGATGCACGATCATTCCTAGATATTGATTTTTTTATTCACCGTGAAATGATGTAAAAATTACTTTCGAATTGTAATGACTTGCTGGAGTCAATCAAAGCTGCAATGTTCCTAAATGAGTCATCAGCCAGTCTTCCTCAGCGCAACTGGTAAGCAGGCAGTAGTCATCCATCACATGACATAGTAATTCAGACTAAAGTGTTCCCCAACTCTTCATTAGAGAGCTGTGATACACATTGAAGTTGGCACGCATTGTTTACGACCGTTATTAAAGGCGCCGTTTTTTTTATGGCTACGAGTCTATGTTCGATTGACTAAACTTGAAATCACTTGAAGCTCGTGGCTGTTTTTGTGATTATGTATTTTTGTATAAAACGGTGCATAGTAAAATACGTTATCCTATGCTTGTTTCTCTGCTTTCTCTACATGTCCATCGAGTAGACTGTCGACACCACAACACGTTTTACTTACAAGACATACGTTCATTTTCCAAATTTTTATGAATTCGGAGCAGTTTTAATGCTCTGAGCGCGGTGGTTGACATTTCCGAGAGTGAGTGGGATTTTAAAAGCGCACTAAAATATTGCATTTACTAACACCAGGGTTCGGGTTTGATATGTCTTCTGCCATTCTCTGTACGTGTTTTTTTTGTTTTTTTAAAGTGTATGTTGTGCGTGACTGTGACCCAGTACTAATGCCTTGGCTGTTTCTGGACATAAGACAAAATAAAGAAATAGCTGGCTATAATAAACACAGAAATTTGGTATTTCCTAAAAAAAAAGCAATACATAATGTGTGTTAAAAGTCGTTACTCGGTGTGCTAGAATTATATTAGGGTAACGTTCTTACCGATCGAGCATCAGTGACGAAATACGTTGCCAGACGGCTTATACTTAACCCTGCATAATATATATATATATATATATATATATATATATATATATATATATCTTTTTTACTTAAGAACAACCGAAATTATATTTTCTACACACCAGTTTATCATATCTAGAATTACAACAGTATCATCATGAAAATACAGTAACTGCTGATTTCCATTTCTTAATTTTCCGCTCTTAAGGAGGGTGAGCCGTGAAATAAATATCCCAAATGAAAACGTTCTCTGTTTATTTCATGTGGATTCCTATTTTGATTAGCTTTAGTTGGAGCATGTCAGAACATTTCCCGGTCCTGAAAGAAATGGTCGACGATCGCATGCACTCGGGGGAAACAAAGCACAGTTTTAGGGAAGTGACGGGAGGAACTATTGATAGCACTTTCTGCCAAAACCGTTCGTGTTGGGCAGAAAGCAAGTCAGTGTTCTTGATGTGCTCCTCGAAATGTTTAGACCAATTGAAAAATGTTAAGTTTTTTTTATGTGGAGATGAATTTTTAGGTACTAACAATTTTTTAGCTTTGTAAGACTTTAGCTTAATGTGCTTGCGTTGCCTCCGAGCGTACGCGAAGCCACGTCATGGCGCTGTCGATATTCGGGAAGAAATCATCTGCCGAAATTTCTCATCACCGACAGGCTTAGCCCCACAAGCAAGGGGAGCTTAAGTGCTGCCTGTGAACTGGGTGATAAGGAGACCTCATTGCGGTTTTTAGAATAAAATATACTCATACGGTTCATTTGCGTCTAGTGTTAAATGAAAGCCCATGAAACGCTAATCCCTGGAATAAAACAAATTAGATCTGCGAATACAAAAGCCGAACTCGCGTTTTGAGTTTAATAATTACTGTCATGTGGCGAACTATTGCCCTAATACTACATTCGGTAGCTTTATTTTCAAAGGTACCTTGAAAAATTGTAGTGATTAACTCTCCGAATGCTGCACGAGAAGGGACACACATTTTTTGCGGACTAATGTTATATGCATATTTCTCAAGTTACTCGGTGTTCCGACTTTCTGCGCACGTAGAAATATTTCCATTTAACCAGAAAAAAGCAAAAGTCCACTTTGAAGCATCTTTTGTGTATTGCGCACACTGAAGACCCATGAAATCTTTTCTCGTGAAAGTGGAACTTGTGTTATCGGTAGGTGGCTCCAGGCCCCGGTCAGCCCGCGCTGTTCATGGTGGTGCTGATCCAGGAGAGGAACTCGGTGACCCTTGTGTACACGTCCGGGTAGTCTCGGTGGGCGCAGCCGGATCCAAAGGACACCAGACCTGCGAGGGCCCAGTTCCCATCCTTGCGCTTGCACTGGAAGGGACCTCCGGAGTCGCCCTAAGAAGAAGGTCGGATTCACTATGAGGGCTTCTTATTGCGAGACGGGAAGCTTAGGTGCTCCTTTTGCGTCTGAGAAGTACAAGCATCCCGTCATGATTTTATTGTGCCGTCCAATTGACATGGCTTGAGTTAGGCATGCCGTGACTATACGTGGATAAAGTAATTAACGACCATACGATGAAGCATTACGAAGAAAAGGTGCTTTAACGCGCCGCAGCTCAAGCCGCGCGAAGCAAATCCTCGTGCTTCGGAAACCAGAGACCCTGGGCTCAATCCCCACGCCTGCCCGTTTCATTAACCTTCACCTAAACCTTATCTCCGGCTACCCCACTAGTGCTGTATTTCAGGATTTTGACAAAGTGCCACATAGCCTTCTTCTGCTGAAACTTTCGATGCTAAAGATTGACCCTAATCTACTGAAATGAATCGAATCAGTCCTTCTACAGCGTCGTCAGTTTGTTTATGCTAACCACACCGAATCCTCCCTGTGCTCTGTTTCTTCTGGTGTCCCCCAGGGGACAGTACTTGGCTCATTACTCTTCCTAATATACACTAATTCCCTTCCTCTCAATATCTCTTCCACTCTGCGGCTTTTTGCCGATGACTGTGTAATTTACCGTAAGATAACCTCTATCGATGATATTGTGACGCTTCTGGACGACATTTCTAAAATTTCTGAAGGGTGTAACACATGGCGCACGTGCTTAAATCCTAACAAAGGCCAATGCATGTGCTTTTCTCGTTCATTGTCAATTACCTACCCGGTACTTCTTTTGAACTCTGTCCCCATTGATTATACAAACCAAAACAAATCCTTAGTCTTGCATCTCACACCTAATCTCTCAAGGAATACTCGTATTAAAACAATTATATCCTCTGCAAACCGTTCTCTAGGCTACATTCGCCGAAACTTTAGATCCTCACCCGAAAACCTAAAGTGTATATCGTACACCACTATCGTTCGGCCTAAATTGGGATATGCGTCCTCCATCTGGCGTCCTCATCAGAAAAATTTAGCAGACTCTGTTGAATCCGTTCAGAACCGTTCTGCTCGCTTTATTTTTAATGACTCTTCTCGTACTTCAAGTGTATCATCAATGAAGTCTCGTCTTAACCTTTCTCTACTTTCCTCCCCCCGTCGAATTTCCCGTCGTTCTCTTCTTCATTACGCCTTTTACACACCTTTCTTGAAAATGTCTCTTCTAAATCCGCCCACCTACATATCATCAAGAATGGACCATTCATGCAGGATCTCCCTTCTTAAGTCATCAAGTCAAGCACACAAGCATTCCCTCCTCCCTGAAGCAGTTGTGGACTGGAATGACCTCCCGGAAGCCATAGTTACCATACCCGACTCTAGGCGATTCCGACTAGCCGTTCAAAACCACTTGTACTAACCCACTCCCCTCTATAACGCCCCCGAGACATCGAGGGTATCTATAAATAAATAAATGAATAAATAAATAAATCTGAGTGAGCATCGTACCGTCGTGCGGTTGTGTCACGACTAAGTTGTGCACGTCAGTCCCCTGGGTAGCAGTGGTTTTGCACTGACCAGATTCCTCTCCTACAGCGGAGACACCAGATGCAATTGGCGATGTCTAGCTTTCTTCCGCCTACACATCTTTTTTTTAGAGTGCAGCTCTTGGGCGCCTGTTTCCGGGCTGATCGGCATCACCGTCGCCGTCGCCGTCGGCGTAACCGCCTGTTACATTATGGGACGTTTCCCATAATGACATCACATGTGACGTCACGAGGGTCATGAGTGCCGTCGCCCTCATGACATCACACGGGCATACCCTATCCTCCTCCCCTCCTCCTCCCCTCCTCCTCCTCCTCCTCAAGAGCTGCGCTCTAATTCGGCATTACAAAAAATTGTAAACGTCTTTCATTTGTTTCATTTCGTTTTCACTTTAGGGGTTTTACCTAAAGGGGAGGGGGGCGGAGAGGGGGGGGACATGAAGGTGTATAAACTTAACACTAGGAAAACACCGGAAAAAGCGACGGTTAAGTCGTTTACGTAATGCGAAGAGATGCCTGTGCGGCTCGGAATTAGACTGGCCTCGGTTAGATTACAATGTCGCCCGGATGGGGCTTCCAGTCAAAAATTGACAAGTGTAAAGGGGAAACTTTTAAGAAGTTAGTCCTAGGAGTTGTGAGGTGAAGTTTTTGTGTGTTGTCTGTACGTGACAAGATATGCCTGACGGCTCTACAGTATATATATTTTTTTTCGGTGAATGATAGTACAACTGATGTGGGGCAACCAAACGTGATATTCTACGTCGGTCTGCAAGAGGAGAATTGTTATCTTTTTATTTTAGCACTGTGCCCTCCGCAATGACGGTTGCCATTGCGGAGGATAAAGCGAGTCGCTCCATTTTGGACAGCTCCTTGTTTATCAATTAGGTAGGACTCATGTGGATTCCAGATGACAGATGCGTATACAAGCATTGGTAAAATGAGATTCGAGCATGCGATCAGTTTTGTTTCTCGTAATGCCAGATATAGACGTCGCCTTAGGAAGCCTACGTTTATATTTTCTTTGGATAATGTAATTAATGAAATGCTCATAGGAAAGCTTGGATGTGAAATGGACCCTGATCTCTTTATTTGTAGGAACTTTTTCTATTGAGGTATTGAACATGGCGTAGTTGGAGTGTGGTGAAGTAGGTGTGTTATTGAAGTTCAAGTATTTTGTTTTGGAAACATTATTTTGCACTTCTCACTTTCTACACAATGTTTCGAGACAGGATAGATCGCTCTGCAAAAGTGCACAATCATCCAAAGGCTCGATCTTTCGGTAGATCATACAATCGTTGGCGGACAATATAATTGTGCACCGAATACGAATTGGCAGGTCGTCTACAAGGATTAGATAAAGCAACGCACCGGTCCCGGTTCCCTGAGGTACACCAGATTTTACGTGTTGATTTGATGAATTTTTGTCTCCGCAATGCATGCTCTGTGTACGATTAAGTTAAAACTAAAAATTCACTCTGTTACTAACCAATTTAGTTTTATCAAACGCATTTTTAAATTTAGACGATGACGAGACACCTTATCAAAGACGTTCTGGAAATCAATAAAAATAGTGTGCGTTTCTGTTCTGAAATTATGACTTTTTTTTTCTTAATGAGTGAACTCAAAAAGTTCTAATTCACAAGAGGAAACCGTACTGGTTTTCAGAAGAGAAATTGTTAGTGCATAAGCAATTTATTATGTTTGAAAAGCCTATGTGCTCTATGTGTTTACTGGGAACACCAGTTAGCGATATTGGCGTATAGTTAACAGTATAGCTCTTTAGACCAGTTTTATAAATGGAGATCAAATGTGCGTCCTTCTAGTAGTCGGGTAGTTGGCCACAACTCAAGGATTGTTAGAAGCTCAAAGAAAAAAGGTATGGAACCTCATATTCACAGTTTCATAAGCTTCGAGGAATTTTTGCAATAGCCCGGAGCTGAGTTTAACGGCTGATCATCTAAGTTTCAAAACACTAGCTACGGAGATAGTCATTTGGATGATAGTGCAATTAAATGCAAAGGTGCAAGCGAGCTGGGCAAGAATGGCAAAAATAATGGCGAAAATAATCCCTGGAGAAGGGGAACAAGAGGGACAAACACAAATCTCCAAACACAGCCAGGTGACTGGTGCGCGACGAAAAAATTCCGCCTGGTACTCGGACGAGGCAGATCTTTTCAGTCACGCATCAGTCACCAAGCTTTGTTTGAAGATGTGTGTTCGTCCTTTGTCCCCCTTGTTTTTCTTCTCCTGGGAATACTTTTGTCATGGATATTTGGGAGGTGCATAATATATCCCGCGTTCTTGTACGGTAAAGAAAACAAGTCTTCTAAAAAAAATAACTAAAATGCTGACTGAACTCACTCGTACAAAAATACTGACTCACATGTCAGCACATCTCCAGCACATAACACATTAATAAAAGTGTTGTAACTTTCTTTTTTGAAAATGTATGTACAGTTGCTTGACATTAATTTGAGTATAGTCGCAGTTATTACGTTTTAAAAGCAACAGAAACTCTTTGCACGAGCAGATTTGAAGACGTTGGTCTCACACTCTCGCCGTAACGCGACAGTGAGTCGGGAGATAGAAAGTTCCAGGGTTTTTGCAAGAAATCGTCGCCAAGTGGAAGTCTTTCTTTTAGACGAGAGGCCGCGCAATTAGCTTGTCCCTATACTAAACGCCAGCATGGCCCTGGGGTTAACTGCCTTTTCAGGGAACACTTTATAAGTAATGGAAGTACGGAGTCGCTGCTGTTCTGCCAAGCATGTGAAACGTAAGTGGCCCACCCTTACTTAGTGGTAAATGTTAGATGCGTAGGATCATCTATACCTACCCAAACTACGGTGAAAGCGTGCCAATCATTAAAAAAACATTAAATGACCTGGGTGGGTGTAGCCGAAAGCACAGCAGTTTATACAGGATTAGCCAACAAATCAGAGCGATGAAAAAGTGCACTTTAACCTGGAATAATTATTCTTTAGGGAAAAACTTCTCGGACATCGGCAGGCGTCAGCTTATTAGCGCAAAAGGGCCCTGCAATCATTTTTAAGCGCCTCTCTTTTTTGCGCTTTCCACGTCCATCGGGGTTCGGCCAAGCCAGCGGGCACGGAGAGAGTAACTAAATATAAGTGCGCGATATTTTAACTGGACGACGTGGAAACCTCCTCCACCTACGGGGGCGACCCGCGGTGCCGAAAGCACGCGATATGTGACGTCTTAGGTCCTAGGCTTACTACAGGTCAGAGCCGCGAAACGCTTCTTTTTTTTCTCAAAATACAAGATATGAGTGGCGCGAACCGTTTCAATTATTCATAAAAGTAGTTTTTGTTCACTATTTCAGAACAGAAAAGAAACAAATGCAGTTTATAAAGTACGGAAACAAGAAATGACCCGTCGACATACCCCACACCAAGCGGAGGAAAAGGCGGCGCATACTAGAAAGGTGTAGTGGGATCAGGCGCCAACGAGCGGCGAGCGTAGAAAGGTCCCGGATGTACGCGGTGGCGCTGCGGTCTTACGAAATGAAGGATCCGACCGGTTTTGAGCGTTCCCAAGGCCTTCGGCGGGCAACTTTGGCTTACGGTTTGGCCCTTTGGCGGTATGGCAGCGCGAAGTGGCTCCCATTCTGAACTGATCTTCACCCCGTGTTTGCTGTCGTTTGTGGCCAATAGATTGTCATGCCTAATTAGCGTATAATCGCGCAGCAAATGCAATGCGAGCCACCCTGGCTGCTCGCTTCATACAGCCTATTCAGAACATGTTTTAGTGGCGCCCTCTCGAGCCGTCGACACGGAGCGCCGCAGGCGTAACCGCTCGCTGAGCTCACTACCCCTCGTCTAGTTCACGGCCACTCAAGAGACCAAGGACGTCATGAATGAGGTTGTTTTTTGCTTGTTTTTGTAATTTTACTTTTCCTATAATTTCTGGAATAAAGCGAAATTCGAGAAAAGAAAGGTTTCATTAAGTTACTATGCCCAGTGCGCTCAGTTTCGGTTCAAATTAAAAACCAGTAAAAAGTCCTTGCAGGGCCCTTTAAAGGAAAAACAAGCAAATGAATTAGCTCTTGATAACGTCTTGTTGGAGGGCAAAATCAAATTAGCAATGTGTTGCCCGTTGTCAAGACATGCCTGAGCTTTTGTTAGAACTCGAACAAGTAAATTCCGTTCCGCTGTTTTTTTTGTAAATTTAAGCGGTGAGGAGTCTGAGGCAACGAAACCATAGGCAAAAGGGCGCTGGAAGTCTCTCACGGAAGTAACGTGGGCCTCAGCAGCGGTCAAGGATAGTCAGTCATTGCGAGCACGTGTGTTATCCAAAGGTCCAATGGTCGTAAATTATGTGCGCTACATTTTACTGTCTACTCGGTAAGCAGTGTTCGGTGCTTTTTTTTTTTTTTTTTCTTAGCTTCAGTTTGGCGGCTTCTGGGCAGTAAATTTCCGCCACTAAAGAGGTGGATGCCCACTATGTGTGCTTGCACCACCGGACAAAAAGGGTATTTCTTGCAGCGGTATTCAAAGTATGACATCTGTGCAGAAACAATAATAATTCTTGAACGCTTCTAGGTAGCCATTTCCAGAGAAGTTATTAACCATTTGGCGAAAACATTGCCCGTGCCTTGATGTACGATACATACTACATTCACATTGCACGTCAGTTTTGTGAGGGAAGAATACGGGTCAGTATGCAAGGCCACTCACGTAGCAAGAGCCCCTGCCTCCTTCGAGAGCACCAGCGCACAGGTGCCAGTTCCTGATGTTGATGCGGAACTTCCGCGCGTACGGCCCCAGGCAGACGTTGTTGTTATACACCGGCACGCTGACTTCCCGGAGCACAGATGATGGGGCGCCACCTGTCGTAGAATCGAGATAGGTTAATAGTGGGTGTCATAAAAAGGCAACAGACGTCCAATCGCATAAAAATACATCCAGTTCCCTGCAACTTTAGGATTATTATACATTTCGAGTATGTCGTGCAAACACTTTATGCATGCTTTTCCGATCAAGCTTGCACACGCGCAGATCTGGCCACGCTGATGAACAAAGAGGTGTTGCTAAATCTAACTGAGTTCTCATTTCAAAGGGTGTCTTTGATGGTTGTGTAATCTGCTTTGGTGGTGCTTTTATTGTGTGTGTGAACGCGAGAAAATAGCGAGTAATTATCTATGTGTCACCGAGCTGATAAAGGAAAACATATCTAAATAATTGCTGCATATCTGGAGCAAGTAGACTTGTAAGCCATACAACATTCCAATGGAAATAAATCCCTCTTAATGTAATTCCCAGTGGGAGGGCAACAATTGTGTAAAAGGAACTTTCGAACAAGCGGTTTGTCACTTTTGGGATGTTTATTTCTTTCTTTTTTATGTTTCACATTAGGACGAGAGGTTTATTCACAACGTTCGAAAGGTCTGCCTTTCTAAACTTAAGATCTATTATTTTAGATATGACGATACTTTTTCTTCTTGAATAAATACTGTACTGACAACTGCGTTCCCAGCAGTCCAAAATATATGCATACTTGTTAAGCCTTTCAGTGAGTGAAAATGAAAGCTCCACACCTAGTCGGACCAGAGAGTCTTTCGAGTTTCAGCACTAATTAGGACACAAGACTCTTCCAATACCTGCAGGGCAGCCAAATAAGCATGGCGGATTGTTCACACTTCGATTGCACGCGGTAAATACTATAGGAACATTCAAGTGTGTCATCCAACTCTAAGTAAAAATGTATAAGTATTAATAAAACGCGCTTTACACTGACGTTCTGAACGCACTCGTCACTCGAGTGATGAGTTGAAGTTTAGATACATGAATCAACAAGAAAAAACAATTGCGCAGCACTGGTTCGCAGTCACATCACTATAAAATGGTACTTCAAGCACCAGCAACAAAGTATGCGTTATTAATTGATTCATACTGAAGCTCCCTCGTGAAGGGCTGGCTTGTGAAAGCTACACTATTTCTCATTGAACAGCTGCGTTTGACGACATGTAAAACACCAGTTGAAGCATTCAATCTGTAAACATGTTTCATGAACTCTAACTCTTAAAGTTTCTACCTTCAAAGTGTCCAAGCCACACAAACCGCAATAAGAAAGGGTGCGAAAACAGGGCGGCCTATTTTCGTCACCTTTCTTATCGTTCTTGTGTTTTTCGGCGTTTTGAGCGTGATAATCAACCAACTGGCCCCATTTGCCATTTTAAACCTCAAAAGTTTTACTTGTATTTTTTAGTGGCGAAAAACCTGTTTATGTCATTCTGGTTGTGTTACAAAATGACCTCTTAATTAGAACAGGTGGCGTATGGCGCGCTGCCGGCGTGCGATTACAGACCTCCCGACGTTGTGGCTCCCCATCCGGAGGAGACGCAGTTCATGCCTTCGAAGATCTCGCCAGGGGCCGGGAGGCAGATGGGTTGGACGCGGCCGCTGAGTCGCACCCGTTTGGCCATCTTGATGAGCGCGATGTCGTTGTTGTAGCCCTGGTAGCCGTGGTACTTGAAGATCTGCTTGGCGTTCACCTGGATCTCCTCGCCCTCTAGTGAGTTTTGGTCGTGCTCGCCCACGCGGACTTTGATGGTGCTCGCGGGTTCCACCACGCCGCCCAGCTGCCTGAAAAACCGATACGTAGACAGTGAGGTCTGTGACAGAGTTTTTTTTCTGTAAACAAAGTACTCAGATGCTAACTGATAAACTACATTACATCTGAGCATCATATAAATATCCGGTGAAATGTGTTGACTTCTCAGTCTTGATCAACTCCTTGATAGTACTCGCTGTTTGGTCCCACGTGTCGCTCGGTTTTTCTGGGACGCCCCGGCAAATCAGGTTATTCCTCCTCACCCGGTTATTTGGGTCGTCGATTCCAGATTAAAGGGAGTCGTATTTCTTGCGTGTACAAACAAGCTAAGCATCTAAATATTTAACTGTTGTCTCAAAAACGTCTTTCTTTAATTTGTGTTATATCTTGAACCTGATTTTCTAAGAGTTTAACTTTGTATTTAAGTTCACCCGTTCCTAAACTGATCGCATCCAACCTTTCTCGAGTTTGTTTTTGATTTTCTTCATTTTTTTTCCGCAAGGTTTTCAAACATTTCCTTTGATCTCTCATTACCAATGCCAGGATTCAATTCAATGTATCCGAAGAGTAGTAGCGATGCCTCCTGAAAAAGGAGGCAAGTGTTGTCCGAAATGGAAAGAAGGCAATTGTAAATAACTAAAATTACGCTCTGGAACTCATAAAAACATGTTAGTATGCCCTCCTTGTCGATGTCTGGTCAAACAGTGCCCACACGTCTCAAAGTGAACTTGGTTCGACTGTTTTCACGCACTCGTTTTATATCTTAAATTTGGGTACCCATGCCTTGTCTGGGGTCGTTTCTAGATCGGCCAAGTTCCCAACTGACGACGAAATACAAAATTTAATGCCGCCGATTACAAACCGGTGCTTGTGCAAAATCTCGAGTTTCCGCTATCTTCGAGGTATGTGATACGAAGTCGTGTATTTCAATAAGCTCCTCTCCCGATCATTTTCATGTTTGTGTGCAGCGCGATTGGAAAAGTTCATTTAATGTAAACATTTAGTACGTGCTTGAATATTACATTTAACATCTGAATGGTAATTTCGCGAAAAACAGTCATCCTCTCATAAATAATTTATTTACCGCTTTCCTTACAATAAATATTGTTTTGTCATAACCACATAGACTTAATAAAGAGCAATAATGTCTTAAAAACTTCTTATAATGTTATTTTATATTAATTTAACTCAGCTGTTTTGTTTGCTAGTTTAATGATGTCAGTAGCAGAATACTGGAACTTACATAAACGTCTAATCAAGGACGAATCTACATTATTTGGTAAATTGGTCTAAAGAAGAGAAGAAAATAATTTTGAAAAAAAGATGCACTCAGCCAATCATATTGTTTTTTTCCCTTGTACAGCCCTCTGTCAAATATTTTTTGCTGTATTTTTAAATTTTACTTGTTTAAACTTCATTGGGTCTGAATAATTTGCGTGAGGTGCCACTGGAATTTATAATTTTTACAGACGTAATACACATTACGTACAGCACATACTTTTTTGTAATATCCAGAACAGACTCCACGTAACTTATACAGTTATAACGAGTCTATTATACCCAATAATACAGTGTATACTTCGATTAACTTGGATAATTTTCATAGTGGCAATACATCAAAAATGTTATTCGACTGAAGAGCCTCTAGTTTATACGCCACAATATTAACATTTTGGCACAAGAATTTTTTTTTTATGACAGAACGGAGTAGTAGCATGGCAAGTTGTTCAAAGCGTAACGTTTTTAGTGTTATGGCCATATTTGTATAGTAAATACATTGGCTTCTATGAGAACGTTGCCGCAACCAACTAAGAGATGGTCCAAACATGCGATAGCACAAATTTCTTGGTATGGTGGACTTTTAAAGTATGCACTGCTCACTGAGGGTTCTCAAAACAAACAAACGCAATAGCCAACCAGAACTTTACCCGGAAACTGGGTTATTATTCGTTAATATTTACCTTCGCACACCCTGTATATTATTACAATACATAACAATCACTAAACGACAAAAATAACTATTTTAATAGATAAAACTCACGTGACCACGCAGTGGGCTGCCGTGGCTACCCACTGATCATTGATGAGAGCTCCCCCGCAGAAGTGTCGTGTCCGTCCGTCACGCCCCACCTTACGCAGAGACACCTGGGAACAGGAAGAACGGACAGTGGATAGTAGGGGTGGTAGACGTGGCACCTTCGCTATTTGTTTTCTTGCTTTTTTGGAGCAAATTAAAAAGAGCGGATGAAAGAGGAGTGCCCTTTTAGTCATTCGATGAAGGAATGATAGTCATAATAAGTAGACTGATTAATTTAAATCCTTTATTTAATTCGTTAATTATTGTTCTAAGGGGCGTGTTAAAATTACATTTTTTTTTAAAATAGAAATAGTAAAAGACAAAAGACGTACATGGACGAGCAGTCTCTTTCAAATAGCAACGAAGTTTCCATATGTCGTTGGTATTCAGAAGAGTGTGGTCGTCCGTGTACGTCTTCTATGTTTTTATTATTTCGTTTTTAAGTATACATTACAAAAACACGCTCGAAGTAACTATAGTATTAACATTGCAGCATGGACGGTGGTTACGGTTGAGGCCAGAACATTTAACCTTTCAGGAAATGTAAATGTTTTCTAAGCAATTATAATTTTTTTTGCGTTTTCTAGTTAAAAAAAAAAATGTTAGCAAAAGAGTCACCACAAACCCTGGTCGCTGTGAGGCTTGGAAGAGTGACCTAGTTTTTTAAACATCTCCTCTCGCTACTGTCCTTGGTAGGTGTGCTGAGGACACATGTGGCGGCAGAACTGCAACCACAGGTCAGTCTTCTAACCGTCATTGTGGGCGGTGCTTGAGGTGCTCTTTTTGTGCGCAATCTTTATATCGGGCCGAACCTCAAGAACATCGATCAATTATTACCTCAAAATCTGTTTTGCCGATTCTTTTACCTAGTCTGCCTTCCAATAGTAATTGTTGGCAATACTGAAATTCCAACATAAATCCGAAGAACCATGATTAAAAAGTTAACCAACGAATTCGAGCTAATCAGTGAGCTTCCCACGATGATTATTACATCATTCAAAGTACACTGACCCTGACATATAGCTGAAGACCACTTTTCTAACACTCACACTCTTTTCTTTTTCAATCAGTTCAAATTAAAAGCAAACATATATTTTATGTGTGTTCGAATCTTTCAACTAAGGTGTTATTCTCTGAGGTGTTACCATGAAAAAATTGGCACGGCCATTTATTTACATGAAATACAGTAGTTATGAGCGACTGTTTCAATCGTTCGGAAGAAATTAAACAGTCTTTCCAAAGCGAATTTCTGGGAAAACCGAATTGGTGAGTAACGCGACAAGGGAACAGGGAGGGGAAGGGAAGCAATGGTGATGAAACTTTAGGAATATAAGGAGAGGGATTGGGGGGAGGGAAAGAGAGGGACGGGAGGAGAGGGGAACGAGGCAACGAAGTTTTGGGTCATGTAACCCCGTGTTTTGCGGCCCGGGAATGACGGATGAAGCAATGGACGGGGGAAGGAGGGCACCGCAGCAGAATGGGGGAGACATGCGGAGATAGAGTGATGGGGAGGGCCGGAGAAGGAAGAAGGGAGAGAGGTAGAGGTAGGGGTTTGGAGATAATTGAGGAGGGAGGGGAGAAGAAGGGGGTGCTCGTAAATCTGTGGAATGTGAAGAAATAAAAGTGGGAATGGAATGGTAACGACGCCCTAGGAGATAAAATAAGTGCCACGTGACACATATTTAAATGCTAAATGTATTGCAGAAACTGGATTGGAAATAAAGCCACATGACACGAAGTTTGCCGCTATATGTAGCTGAGAAACTGAATAGATATATACGTCAAGTGACGTAAAATTCCCCGCTAAATTTAGCGGGAATACTGAATTTGTATTAACAAGATGTGAATTTTGGAGGTAAACTTACCGCAGAAGCTGAATTTACATACAGGTCACATGGCGTTAATTTCTCCACTTGGCCCGGTGATGTATAAGTAACGTGTCGTAAATTTTTTCCGCTAAATGGAGTTGAAATCGCACAGAAGGATGGGCGTCCAAAAATATTGGCCAAAGAGTTTTGTTAAAAAGCATATCATGCTTCGTTATCATTCCATAATTATCAATAGCAGCGCCCTGGCAAACTAACAGACAACACTTGGGCCGTCGTAACAAGGGGAGGGATTTTGTCAACTCGAGCTTCGAACAGAACAATTTTAAAAAGGTACATGCATCGATATTTAGTAGGAAAGTTTCTTACATTACAGAAGTTTACTGCCACTATAGCGGAACGCTAATGTACACGCACACAACGCGTCTTACCAAAAAGCTTCTCGTCGCCGAGTATTTTCAAGGATAAAAGGTGACGCTGTTTTTTTGAGTCTCCTTGCAAAAGTTTATGACGAAATTGTGGGCATTACATTTTTGTCTTGGTAAAAAATGTGAACCTTGGGAGTTCGTCATCAAGCTTGACGACTACCGCAATTACAATATTTTATGCTGCTCATACAGTGGACGAGCATGCGTGGGCATTCCACTTGGTCTCGACACAATTATTGCTTGGACTTGGATTTTTGTATTGGCTCGACCTCTATCGCTGCGACGGCGAGAATATTCAAAACTTAGTGTTGTGTGGAACTGAGCCCATTCCCCGTGATTTGCGAACCACTGGACGTGATTATGATATACTTTTGAGGCATATAACAGGCTCCAGATCGCGTGGACGCTTTTGCTCGCTGAGAGCTGAGGGGGTAAACTCTGCTTGTTATTCTCGAATTTCTTAAACAATTGCCGTCGTATGCAAAAAAAAAAAAAAAATGTGCGTTTTTAATCTTAGAATGGCAAAGGTCAATTCTAAGCGGAATTTACTGAAGGTAAAAACATTGTTACATTGTGCCTTTAAAGACGTCGCTTACTCCCTAAGGACGTATTAGGTCTAACGTCCGAGCCTTGAGAAGTTCCGTACGGGGCGCAACAAGCGACCTGATTGATATTTTAACAATTGCGTGGTGCATATATTTGGTTATAATATTTTTTATTTTATTTTGATGAGCCATAAAACATCACTAAGCATAAAAGGTGGAACACTGCCGTAACCATCAAAAACAAAACTGCGTATAAACAAATATCAGCAAAATTATCTACTGGGAGTATCGAGGAGTGGCCAGGCTCTTTAAATCGACCGCAAAGTTCGGTTTCTTTACCTATCGCGCTACGATTTTGTACAGCGTTGCCCACAAATGGTGAATTTTTTTCGTAAAATTTGCAAGGAGCGAACTTACCCGAGGAAAACGTTAAGAAATAAAAAGGCTTAGCTCCTGTGGAAATGCGGCGAAGCCAAAGGCCTTCAAACAATACGGCGCCGTTTCACACGGGCGACAAGAGATGGCACAAGCGGCCGCGATGCCAACTGCGCCAACGAACGAGCATACGGCGCCGAGAGCCGACGTCTTTAGCAGACGATCTTTTCGACTCAAAAGCGGCACGGGCTTTTCTGATTTCGGTTGCCAATGCATTATTTTATCATCCTTACAGAGAAAACATATTAAATGGACACATAATCGATTAGAAAAATGGTTTGTCGGGATATTTTGGCAGTTCTTTTCGGTGTACCGGTGCCCTCTGCTTTGCAGTTCCTTGTTGTTACCGTGCCTGTTTTTCTTTCTGCGACTGTCGCCGCCTGCGGAACGCGCTCCGCTTTTGAGTCGAAAAGATTGTCTGCTAAAGGCGCTGGCTCTCGGCGCCGTATGCTCGTTCGTATATAACTTACACCATCCGCCAAAAAAATCAGTCCTGCGCAGCACGGATTCCTTCAGGGGAGATCAGTTGAGACTAACCTATGCACATTCTTCAATTACTCGTCTCCAGTCGTTTTTAACCAGGGGCAAGTTGATACTGTTTACTTTGATATGTCGAAGGCATTCGATACGGTGAATCATGTTTTGCTACTGTCAAAACTGCGGTCGTATGGTTTATGCCCCTTGTATCTTGCTTGGTTTGAATCATACCTTTCTTCGCGTACAAACGCGGTTCGGATTTCGAATGTTTTATTGGATCATTTCATCTTAACGTCAGGCGTTCCACAGGGCTCAAACTTGGGCCCTCTCCTTTTTTTATTTTTTTATAAATGATATTGTTTCCGCTGTCAAGAGTGCTAACATTCTACTGTTCGCCGACGACATCAAGCTTTATTTCTCGGTGCGGGGCTTAGACTATTGTCTCTGGACAAAGGAAAGTTATTTATTTGTCCAGAAAGCGCGACCCGATTGTTATTCAATACACGCTACCGAATGCGACAATGATTCAGCGTGTGACCACCACGCGTGACCTTGGCGTTATCGTTGATGGCCGTCTTTCATTCAAATAATACGTCACTTCAATGGTCGGTACTTCCCTACGTGTACTCGGGCTGATTTCACGTACGACGTGGGTTCATTACAGATGTTTGGTTCATTTGTTTTGTTCTTTGGTTCGACCAAGACTTGAATTCAGTTCCGTAGTTTGGAACTCCTTTTTTGTGAATCACTGCAACGAAATTGAAAGAGTTCACGAGCGTCTGGTTCAAATTGCATACGATAGATACTTTAATCGTCGTTGCTATTATAGTTACGAATCACTACTTAAATATCTTGACTTACGAGAGCTAAGTAAACGGCGTACCATTCGTGATTTTTCGTTTTTGCATAAAGTCATCTTTGGTAGAATTGATAGTATTTCACTCTTATCATCTGTGAACTTTCATGTACCTTTTCTTACTGGTAGATTTCTTTTGCAATTTTACGCAAATACATCATACCATGCCTCGCCAATATCTATGATCCAGCACCTTTATAACGAGCTTTATTTCCTGATCTAGACATCTACGCAGGTACGTTTCTTAAAAATGGTAAAGCATTTATAAAATTTTGTTTGCGTTTCTAGCACTGTGTTTTCTTTTGATTTTAGCTCTTTGTGTTATCTGTAGCGTCTTGATGTACGTGTGTATTGCGTTTGTTAATTTTGTGGCTAGTATTGATTAACCTGTACCTCAACCTGAACCTTAAGAGACAAATGCATCTTTGATCTGATGGTTATTTTGTTTATAGTGTACCAATAGGTAGGTCTTCGTGGCCGTTTGTGGACACTACCAGAAAATAAAGTATATTATTATTATTATTACTATGCCAAATTTAAATCAAAATGTGTGTGTTTATGTGTTTGTCCTTTACGTGATTTACTATTTCTTAGCATATTGTAGTTTTCCAACGCGCTCTGCTACGTGTACGGTAAAAAATATTTTGTGAAGTGAGATATCGCACCAAGAGCCATCCGCGAGACCTTTCAGACATTTGATACATGGTTATTGAACTTCAAAGCTGTTCCAAACAATAATTACAAGATCTTGAATTATAGACACTCACGCAATCACTGCTTACTCTAAGGTTCAAGTAAATGCAAACCTGTATCGCTTCTTGCTTAGCGACATTGTCTTCGTATTTAGCTCGTTCAAAACGGGGTTAGTTATGTGAACAAAACTTAGACGCTTCTAAAGCGTCTTCATTTAGAAGCACGCAAATAGAAAGATATTCAATGAAAAGAAATAGCTTAAGGGGATGCTAAAACAAAATATCAAGCTCACAAAACAAGCCTGGCCAAATAGGCGGGACGCTATAAAACCGAAAACATCACTCATGCAGCGATATCCCTAGCGGATCGCCGTATTTTTCGGAAAAGAAGTGCACGATTGAACGCGGCAGACGAGGCCCACGAGACAAGTCACGTCACGATTCCCATTTCCTCTCCTTCTCGCCACGTTCCGTCGAGCTGGTGCACAGGGGCGAGGAGGAGATAAGCGAGACCACTTCCCTTCTTTCTCAATATTTCCAGGGGGACAATGACGTCATAGTCCAACCTTGATCGCGCCCTTCCTTCCCAAAAGTACGGAGATCTGCTTGAAATATCGATGTATAAGTGATGTTTCTCAGTGACCGCTTGCCAGGCCTTAAACATGCCTTAATGATCTGTATCAATGATCGCTTGCTAGACAATAAGCATAACGTTTATAGAATTCTGCCATGTCATCTTGGCCTGCATTGCCGAGACTGTTGTTGCACGCCCGCCTTTGATAAGTGTGAGGTGATTAGAAGGAATAAAAATAAATTCACTCGAGAAATCATTTAAGCTCGGAAAATGGGAAGACTGGGGGAGAACTGTGGTCGGCGCTCCTTCAGTATCTTTATCCGATTAGGAATGTTGCTTTTTAGACACACAGTGACAGCGCGTGACGGTGGCTAAGGAGGATGTGGCGTCCATGCCATGTATTTTTTGTTTGTTTGTTATGACGTTAGAATATTTACACTCCATGGTAGCACGAATAAACTTTCGTTGTAGATCAGCGCCTTGTGCGTCTGCCTTGTTGTTCTTGTCCGTGTCCTTGCGCCGTTTTAATTTTTAAGCGGAACAGATATTCACCTAAATTGTGTTTTGCGCCGAAAATATATCGGAAAAAGTTTCGTTTTTAGAGAAAGTTTATTTCGTGACATACGTGTCCCCACCTAGGCACGCTAGAAATATTATTTTGGGAATCCGGGGTCCTTTTAACAATAAAGCAGTGCAACTAGCTTAGGCTAACCTCATCTTTTTTTTTTTCAATTTGCAGCTTCCTCTCGTTGTCTCACCTGCCAGGGATATTCTCCGGGGTCCGCCGGCTGGCCGCCGACGATTCTCTCGATGTTCTTCTCGTTTAGGAGGCTCACCCCACAGCTGCTCGCTGCAGGGACAGGAGGGTGGGAGGAAGAAACACGGTCGTGCGCACGAGGAAAATGAACGTCTTTTACGTCCTTATCTCTTTACTGACAATATACAAAAATTACAGAAAACGTTTATTTTTTAAGCATATTAATGTTCAACAAGATAGAATAAAAGAAGAGAACTAAAATAAAAGCAAAAATTCTAGTGTAAACTTGCAAGTATAGACCAACACGTGGCCCTGACGTCACGCAATTGTGGTGGCGCTGTCGACGGCACTGCGCATGCGCAGAGGCTTCACTTCACGCGAATTCGGTTTCTGCGCACGCGCAGTGCCCACACCTTGTGTGGGCACACGCGGAATTGTTTGTAGACAGCGTGTTGGTCGATAGCTTTGTTTCCTGTGGGCGACACCACCCAAAAGTTGGAAAGTGGCTACCTCGCGTAACCTCACTGGACCACTATAAAATGTTAATAATATCTACGGATACGATGGCCTCAAGCAAAAACGTCACCAATCGTAAAATATTAGTGACAAAACAAAAACCCTTATTCATATTTTTCGCCTTTCCGCCGCTCTCGGTCGCCGCACATTTGCGCACCAAACTTACTTTTCACGTCAACTATTTGCATAACTTTTCACTACATGGAGCTGCAGTTTTAATCTACAAGAATGTTTCGGGACTGCTAGATTTAAGAAAAAATGCTAAAACCGAATATATTAAATAAAGAAATATAAATCGTCTTTTTTTTCTCTTTCTGACTGTAGACAACATTGGTCAACAAAGAGCTAACTTCCGTTTGCCCACTAAAGTCTTGGTTCTACAAAATATAACAAATGTTTTCTGAAATATTAAGTCTTTTTTTTTTCGGTCTTTGTAGGGCGAGCAAGTTCATCTGACCCTGGAGGGAGATTAAATAAACGCGACGTCGTCTGCTTGTCGTAGTAATGACAATCTTACCTTGTTTTCGACCGCCTAAAAACCCCCCGTCTTTTTGTCCTTACGAAACAAAATTTTGCTTTAGGAATAATGTAAGAACGTTTTCGAAAGTTGCGTAGTTCTTGCCGAATAACAAATAAAAAAACGCTCCTGAAAAAAAACAAAAAAAACAACAAACAAACAACGATTTTAAATATTTTTTTTTTCCTCTAAATAAGTCAACATAATCTGGTGAGGCGCGGCCTCACTTTAGAGGTAACATGTCCTTCTAATTTTTCCGACCTTTGTCCTATGCGTGGATATAGATTTTTGTCGACTGTGTCGCCTTATAGAAACATCACACTCAGTAATAGTGAGCGCCCTAAAGAAACTTTGCACCACGCAGGGAAAACTATGCATGTGTATTAGACAATTTAGATTGTAGCAAGGGTTGCCAAATAAAATTAGATATACGCTTCTCGAACTATGTAATTCATCCTCTGAGATAGGGGCAACCAAAAACGGTTTGCAACTAGCTGAGCCAAAGCAGAGAGCGATCGAAGCAGGGTGAACGCAGCCATCATGCAGGATGATATGACTTGACCAGAGCTTCGCGAGTCAATAATTTGTAGGCTTTAACTTTTTAGCTCTAACCAGAAGTACCTAAAGCGTGTGTTGAGATGAATTAGTGCAGTCCTCTTCTATTATTTCCGTCCTGTGAACACACGGACACTGCGCCTGGTGCATTGGTAAATGTTCTTATATTGCGACACTCTCCACTAGCCTGAAAATATTTAAACCGTTTCATTAGTCAAATTATCCACTGTCAGACGATAGATTTAGAAAAGTGTAGCAAGCAAAAACCGATTACATGAACCATATTTATGCACAAACATAATATGATTAGTAATGTGTTATGAACCGAAAGTAAAATAGAGACGTACACGCAGAGGAAAAAAAAAAAAAAAAGAACTGGTGATAGGGTTAGAGATTGCAGAAGTGTACTTCGAACCCTGACAACAATGATTCTCTGCTGTGTCAAATTTTAGATGGGGTCCCAAATTAAAGATGTAGTAATCGTAAAGTTTTATGAAAACCGTAAAACCAAGAATATTGTACAGGATTTCAATACCACTAATTGTATTGGCTGTCGAAAAACCTAAATATATAGGGCTCCGATAACTCGAATTATATTGGATTCCGATAACGGTTTTATTGTATAACAATATTGAATCTGGTAATACAACAAACTTGGGTTACTTCATCGAATTCTAACAGAGCTAGTAAGGATATGAGGGGAAAGATAAGTGCCAAAGGAAAGGAAGGGAACGACGTTTCGACCAAACGGTCTTCTTCAGGTACACTAAAAGGGGAGATTACAGATCAGAATAATAATAGCGTATATACAAAGGCATAGGTAACACGTGACAGATGTGAGGTTGTGGAGTTAACGTTGTGGAGTCAACGTTGTGGAGTTGTGGAGAGAGGGAGGAGGAAAAGTCGTTAAGTGAGGTGCAAGAGGCGTGAAGTCAACAAGTTGAGGAATGTGTGGGGGGGGGGGGGGGGAAGGGGCCCCCGCGTGACCAACCCAATTATCAAAAAAAAGAAAGGATGAAGGAGCGGGAGAAAGGGGAATGTCTAAAAGCCGGATGAAAGTTTCTTGTTTAAACCGGAAGGAAATCACGTTTTTAAGCTAAAAATTAATCTGTTTTCTTTCGTGAGGTGGGTGTATGGGAAGCTGATTTGATGACGCATACTCGCATGTTAAGTTCAGACTGATTTGTTGAGGAGAAACGTGTAGATACGTGTGTAGAGCGGTAATGTTTGAGTTGGGCCGCTCTTCCTAGTGTTACAAGTCTGTGGTGTTCTCTAAAGCGTTCGTGGAGTCGGCGGTCAGTTTCGCCGATATACAGGGTGATTCAAGAAGACGCCAGGTTCTTTAAATCGACCGCAAAATTCAGTTTCTTAACCTATCGCGCTACGACTTTGTGCAGCGTTGCCCACAGATGGTGCTTTTTTTTTTTTGTAAAATTTGCAAAGAGCGAACTTACTTGAGGAAAAAGTAAAGTAAGAAAAAGGCTTAGCTCCTATGGAAGCACAGCGAGGCCAACGGTCGCCAAACAACACGGCGCCGTTTCGCATGGGAGACTATAGATGGCGCAAGTGGTCGCGACGCCAACTGCCGCCAACGAACGAGCATACGACGCCGAGAGCCGACGTCTTAAGCAGACAAGGAACTGCAGTTCCTTGTTGATACCGCGCCTGTTATTGTTTCTGCGACTGTCGCCGCCTGCGGAACGCACGCCGCTTTTGAGTCGAAAAGATCGTCTGCTAGAAACGCCGGCTCTCGGTGCCGTATGCTCGTTTGTCGGCGGCGTTCGTTGCGCCATATCTTGTCTCCCGTGCGAAACGGCGCCGTGTTGTTTGAAGACCGGTGGCGTCGCTGTATTTCCATAGGAACTAAGCTTTCTTCTTTCTTCACTTTTTCCTCAGGTAAGTTCGCTCCTTGCATATTTAAAAAAAAAATAAATAAATGCACCATCTGTGGGCAACGCTGCACAAAGTCGTAGCGCGATAGGTTAAGAAACCGAATTTCGCGGTCGATTTAAAGAGCCTGGCGTCTCCTTGAATCCCCCTGTATAACAAGGTTGGGCAGAGTGTGCAGGAAATGATGTAAATCAGATTAGAAGATTTACAGGTGTGATTGTCAGGGATTCTTATTAGCAGGTCGGGAGGAGGGCCGGCGTGTTTGCACGTAAGGCATTTTGGGGCGCCGCCCGGCGTGGTACCGGTGAGTAAAGTCTGAGGTCTTAGGGAACGGTTGATGCGTACTAGAAGGGATCGTAAATTGATCTGTCGGCGGTAAGTTAGCGCGGGTGCTTTAGAAAGAACTTTGGAGTCTACGAGGTGGGAAGTGGTGTCCATGATTAGTTTACCAAGTCTAGGTTTGGAAGAATGGAACGTGAAGATGAGGGGATTGCAAGGGGGTTTAGACCTTGACTGGGGAAATAGGGCGTCGTGCCGCGAAACGTTAGAAACGCGACCGCTGGTACTGCGCAGTAGGCCGAGTAGGTAACCACGTTCAATAAAGAAGGTGGTCATCATCTTAAGCTTATGACAGAAATCAATGTCGTAAGGAGACGGAGGCGGAGAAATTGTGAGAAAGGAATAGAGTTGATTAGGGATCTAGGATGCCTTGAGGAGTAGAAAAGGTGGCTATGGCTGTCAGTGGGTTTATAATGCATAGAGGTGTGGAACTTGTGACCGTCATTGATTATTTTTAACTCTAGCAAGTTGACAGAGGATTCTATATCAGTGAGGTAAACTTGAGGGAAGCGTGGGCGTTACAAAGTGCATTGGTGAAGCGGTCAACTACGGGAGGGCGCCAAAACCAAAAATATCGTCAATATAGCGACCTTAGAATTGAGGGAGGGGGGGGGGGGTGTGGAAAGGAATTAAAATGAACGAGTGCTCGACGTAGCCGACAAAAAGGTTGGCGAGCGAGGGACCTATCGTTGTGCCCATCGCTACACCACATTTCTGGCGATAGAAGGAGTTGTCGAATTAGAAGCCGTTTAGTGTTAGAACGAGTTCGGCGAGCCGGATTACGGCGTGAGACGGAGGGTTTTGAAAAGGACGCTGATCAAGAGGAGAGAGCCTGTAGTCCTGCGGCGTGAGGGATTACCGTGTAGAGAGATCTGATGTCCATTGTGAAGACGATAGTGTCGGGGGTCGGGGCCAGATTGGTTGGAGGATGTCTGTTGTGTCTTTAACGTAACTGGGCAGGTTCTGGAAAATAGGCGGCAGGATCGAATCCACAAAAGCGGAGATGAAGTAAGTGGGGCAGAATATGGCGGACACAATAGGTCGGCCAGGAGATCCAGCTTTGTGAATTTTGGGAAGAAGGTAGAATGAGGCGGGACGGGGATCACGAACGATTAGACGATTTGCAGCGAGGGGAGGGAACTTGGTTTCAATTAGGAGCTTTGCGGTAGTTGTGATTTTTTCTTGGTAAACGGTGGTGGAGTCGGAGGAAATGTGATCGTAAAACTCAGAAACGGAGATTTGTGTAGAGATCACTACGCCAGACCACCACGGCTCC